TGTAAGGTTTGGGGTTTGGGGTTTGGGGTTCAGGGCTTAGGGCTTAGGGTTTCGCCATGCAGGGAAAAGGCTTTGCAGGCCAAGGTGGTGCTCTCCTCCTAGTGAGCATTGAAGATCACAGCTCGGACTTCCACGGATTCAGGCGCATGAAACCTTGAACCCTGGTTGACAGTCAAGATCCCCAAGCCCCTCAAATCTCGAAACGGCAGGAGAAGTACAGGCAGGAGGGTGACACCAAAACGAGGAGCTACCACCGAAGGCCGAGCGATGGCAGAGGGATGACATAGTGGCAGAGCGCGAGACAGGTCAGAAGGAGAAGGACGCCGTCCCACAAAAAGGAGGAGAGACACTTTGGAAAAGTGGAACGTCAAACCCCTAACCTACTTGTCGATTCCGAGCCCTGTCCTGCAGACCTAAACCCTAAACCCTAAACCCTAAACCCTAAACCCGAGCCCTGTGCTGCAGACCTGCCGGGCAGAGCGTCCTCCCGAAATTCCGGCATTCGACCCGAAGGCGCCGCTGCAGATCTGGCACCCACGGCGCCCCGTAGATGCCCTGCGAGTTTCCGCCAAACTTCAGGGCCTAAGCAATTTAGAAACAAATTTTCAGGGCTCCTTGAAGGTTTAGGGTTTAGGGTTTAGGGTTTAGGGTTTAGGATCTAGAAGAGTTCTATACGGCCCCCCTTAGAGGGATCTCTAAGACTGGATCTCAAGTCTTGATGAGCCCTGCAACCCAAAGCTTCGCACCCGAAGAACGCGGCCCTGCACCCTTGCAGCTGCACTCTACAGCCCTAAACCCTCAAGCTCGAAACCTAAACCCCAAACCCTGAACCTTCAACCCTAAACCCCAAACCCTGAACCCCGATCAATCCGGGAAAGCCTCGGTGTGGCTGTCGCCGAAGCAGCTGACCTGTGCTTAGCGGAACCGAAGAGCGGACTTCGGCACGTATGGCCAGCCAGGGCTCATACCCACCGACACGCATGCAGACATACCTTCATACAAGCATATGTATGCATGCATGCATACATATGCTTGTATGCATGCATGCATGCATGCATCCTTCAAGTATGTACATACACTTCAGATGCGTCTATACAGAACATCAACAGCACATATGTGCACGCTTGCACACCTTGTATATTATACAGCGCTTGACTTGATGCAACCCTTCGAAGAACCCTTTAACCTTTGCGAGCGCTTCTTCACCTCTCAATACCTCCTGCTGCATGGTGTCACTAATTTTGGGTTGTGGGCAACGCAAAGGTTTCGTGAGTCAGTCGGCCGCCTCCCTCAAGAGAATTGTGTAACCGAATCTTTTGTCAGGCTGACCTTTGCTTGTGCTACTCGCGCTGTCATGCTGCTGCTGCTGTTACTGCTGCTGCTACTGCTACTGGTACTACTACTACTGCTACTACTACTACTACTACTACTACTACGACTACTACTACTACTACTACTACTACTACTACTACTACTGCTACTACTAATACTAATACTAATACTAATACTAATACTAATACTAATACTAATACTAATACTAATACTAATACTAATACCAATACTAATACTAATACTAATACTAATACTAATACTAATACTAATACTACTACTAATATTAATACTAATACTAATGCTAATATTAATTCTAATACTAATACTAATACTAATACTAATACTAATACTAATACTAATACTAATACTAATACTAATACTAATACTAATACTAATACTAATACAATTACTAATACTAATACTAATACTAATACTAATACTAATACTAATACTAATACTAATACTAATACTAATACCTACTACTACTACTACTACTACTACCACTACTATCACTACTACCACTACTACTACTACTACTACTACTACTACTACTACTAGTACTACTACTATTGCTGCTACTACTA